GCAAGAGAATGAAGCTAGGTGGATCTAGAGATGCTGAAGCAGAGTGTGAAGAATAAAGAAGTCAAGTAAGGTAACAAGAAAGAGAAGCATTCTTGTCCAAATTAAAAGCAAAATGGATTGTGGCAGAATTAAGAGGAAAGAACAATTTTGAGAAAAGTATGGTTGTGGAAATAATTACTTTTAACAATGAAAGAGGGCAAAAGACTTGTGGAATGAGAATGGTGACCACTTAAACCAAATCTTCCCTTCACTTGAACCCCCTCTCCAGCCTCAATTTATAATGGTGTCCTGTCAAGTTGATTCTGGTTTGTGCAACCCTTGTCAAGGTGTCCTAAGTATAAGGTACTCAGAAGTCATTTACCACTCCCTCCTTCTAGTGGTGCTCTGAGACTGTGCAGCTTGCCGAAGGCAATGAAGGCTGGCTCAGCTCCAAGGAAACACAATGGGGAATCAAACTGTCAACCTTTTGCTTGGAGCAAAGAATCCGACTCACTGTTGGATTACACTTTATGTAAATCTACTCTGGGCAGTTGAGGCATCCTTTGGAACAACATGGGAGATAACTTTGGGGGGAAAAGAATCAGTGAATACTGGCTGAAATCCTGCTACTGAGTCTAAGAAAACTCATAACTTTCACTGTTCCTACACAGCCCCTGCTGTGATTCTTAAGGCCATGTGGGCACACTGGCTTGGTGTGTGTGTTTGTGTGCATACTCCCCTTCCCCCTAATAATCACAGTGGGGACTTTTTATTTAATGGTTAGGAATGGGCTGAAAATTACAAATTTAGTTATGCAAACAAAAGGACTTCAGCCACTGTGTTATTTCCCATTTCCAATGGCCGGACCACCTTAAGAGAAATTCTGCTCAGAGAGTGCTCTGGTTGACTGTAACAAACCAAGGTCCTTTTTTCAAGGCAGCAGAGGCATATTGTAGGCAAATGATGTAAATAAATAATTTTTAAAAGTCCAGTCCCAGTTCTGAGATATTATCCTTTGCAGTCCTGGAACCATTATATTTCTTTTAAAAAATCATTTCAAGTGTTAGCAGCTTTATTCTAGAGCACAGCTGAGCAACATATAGGCCATGGCCACATACGTTACCTGTGAGCATTTGTGGCACCTGGTGCTACAAAATCCACAAAAAAGTCATGATTTCCAAATCCCTCCCCCCCCCCCAAGAAAAGGAACGTTTGATCATCTTAAACTTAGGATAGCAATAATTAGAAGCACCTCCCCCCCCCCCAAGAAAAGAAACGTTTGATCATCTTGAACTTAGGATAGCAATAATTAGAAGCACTGCCTGGAGAATTCTGGGAATTCTAGCCCAAAAATACAATTCTATTTGCCTCTAGCACTGATTCAGCTCTTATACTGGATCGCTCAGTGGTTTAGGTATCTGGCTGTGGAGCCAGAGATTGGAAGTTTAATTCCCCACTCTGCCTCCTGCAAGTAGAGGTAGCCTGAGAAGCTTTGGGCAAGATGCAGAGACTCAGCATGCCTGCAGAAAAAGGGAATAGTAAACCACTTCTGAGAATTCTCTACATGGAAAACCCTGAAAAAGGTCACCAAAAGTCAGAATTGACTTAATGGCACATGTTGACGATGATACTACATCCATCCCTGTTTCAACAGAACTGGTGATCCTTTAAAAATAGATCTACTTTAAAATAGTAGACTTTGAAAATATTACCTTTATCTTCCAAAGCTGAAAGGTCGGATTCACTGAAAAAAACAAAAATAAAATGAATATTTGAATATCGTATACATTTCTGTCTGTGTGTATAAACACACAGGTGTATGTGCATGTAAAATGAATCTCAAAAATGAAAATAAATGTGATCATAAGACAGACTCTCTTTTGGGCAGGTGTATCCCCCCCCCCAGTCACATAAGGCTAAACTACAGAAATCTACGAATAGCTTGTTTAGTGAACTAAATGTGTAAGTTCTTTTATCTACTGTTCCTCCCTGTTCCTTCCCCAAATCTTTTTATGCTAGTATTAACAGTTCTTTTTAAAAAATCAGTATGAGACTTTGTGCAGCATCTGCTTATTCCAACTTGGCCAGCAAAAAAAGGAATGGCACATAGCACGAGAGAGTTACAACATAATTACATAGCATAAGATAACTCAGAATATTTACAAAAGCACAGTAGATGAATCCAGGTTTGTGACAGTATCTGGGATTATACTGGGATTGTACTTGAATCTCCAAATCAGCTCCAGCAGTACATACAGTCTGTTACCTTTAACAAAATTGGGTTTCTGTGTGGGACTGTATCAGATTTGACTTTTCCTCTCTGTTCCAACACAAACCAAAGAAACGAACATGTGAGTACCAAAACATTTGCAACTGCAACAATTTTCTGAGAGAAGGGTTGCATTTTCTGACTGAATTGCATTGCAAAGGTGCCAATATTTTTGCCCATGACTGTACACACCAGCTGCATAGTGATGCCAAAACACTATACTATAAGAACACTGGTACTAACAATGCAAGGACATTGTGCTGTGGCTAGTATCCTGATCCAGTCTGTATGAAAGGTTGTTTTCATTACAACATTCCCTATTTAAAAGGTGTTTATAAATAGTGGGGTCACATATGTTCCCAGTTTTAAGACACTTTGGAGGAACAACATGGCTATGTGCCACTACGTTGCCTCTGGCTTATGAGAACTGAAAGATTCAACGATCTTCAAGATGTCATGTCATCAACAAGTTTGCTCAACTTTTGCAAACTCAAGGCTGTGGTTACTTTTTAGTGTCAATCCATCTCGTATTTATGATGTTTGATAAAATCAAATCTGGATGCATTTACATTGCACAGGATGGGCTGATGGCGAGATCGGAGGGACATTGATTACTCCATTTTCTGCATTTAATTCCTCTATGGTTTTAGTCTGTTATCTCATACCCAGCCAGCCATGTGCCACACACACACAGAGAGAGGGGGGGGGTTTCCTAAATAATGCTTTATGCCTTTAATGGGCAATAGTTCACAAAAGGTCATGACAGAACACACTGGCTACTCCTTAATGTATCCCAGTGCAACATGCTGTTTTTATTTTGTTCCAATTAACCACTGGTGTGGATGTTCTTGTGAGATAACAAGTGACAAGCCATAGTGTATTAAGCACCAGCATTCTTGTCAAATTTCATTTTTCTGTCATTTCTTTTTCATTGACATTTGAACAAAGTAAGTTAAATATGACAGCATTGCAAAATGTGCATCAACTTGTACAACAAAACTTTCCAAAGGACAAATTTGTATACTCTCAAGAAATAAATAAAAGTGTGCCATGTCACTTGAAATCATCCACTCTTGATCAGTCACATTTATGTTTAATGACGGGCTGTGATCTCTTCCATAAGCCAAACGTTGCACAGTTTACATAAGCAATTCAGGCTGCAATACTATGCATACTTACCCAGGAGCAAACCTCACTGAACTCAGTAGGCCTTACTAGTGAAAAGATAAGTACTGTTAAGTGTTTAATTGTTAGAATATTTGAGAGGTCTAGCCAGCAAGAATATAGCTGTCATCTAAAAAAGAGCTGGGCAATTAAAAATGGATGCTTATTGGTTATGCTGTCTTGTTTAATAATTGTAATACTGTTACCTTTAACAGGAAGTCCTGTTGAATGCACTTCCATTGGAAGTGTGCCAACTCTCCTCCTTCCTAACCTTCAAGAGACTGGTGCAGGCATTGCTATAAAGATAGGCTTTCAACAACATACTCCCCCTAGGTTTATTAATGACCTGTAATTATGTTACACCTCACCATATGGTTTTTCAGTTTTTGATCTGGTTGTGTTTTGACTCTATTTGTTGTGAGGTGGGAGCTGGAGGGCTGGTGGGATTAATATTCTTAAATGTTCATATTTTTATGTAAACTGCCCAGAGAAGTGGCCTTTTTACGAAGTTGGGCAGTATAGAAATCTCATAAAATAAATGAATAAAATAATATTTTCTGCCCATTCTTAGATCCTACTTACAATGTGTAAGACATCTAAGCAATATCCTTATTCCATTTCATTTCTGTACTTTCTTATCCTAGAATATGTTTCCTCAATCTAAATACTTTCCTTAACCAAAAACTGCAGGTACTGTATGGGATCGGTTACTAATTTTTCTTATTGAATGTTCTGTTTCTCATATATAACCAAAAAAACTTTTTTAAAAAATAATAATTTTAAAGGCCTTACTTCTGTTTAACTTAAGCAGTGAGACTCTCAGTGTGAGCCTTCCTACTCTTTGTTATGTTATGTATGTGTCGTCAAGTTGGAACTGACTTGTAGGGCTTTCAAGCAGGTGAGATATATAAGGAGTGGCTTTACCAGTTCCACTACCCCAATGAGCTTCCATGACAAGCAGGGAATCAAACCCAACTTTCCTGAGCTCTAATCCATCACTGTATCCACACCACCATACTGGGTTTGTTTTCTACTTTACCCATTCTCTAGTCATCACTGTATTTGGATGTGGATTTTTTTCCTCGCTGGTGTTTTTTATATATAGAGAGAAAAATGCTTGTTCTGTGGTTAGATAGCATTTTTCAATTGCAATTAGGACAATTTCATTACTGTTGCTCCTTACAGAAATGACAGGAACCACTATATAGATGCAAAAATATAAAGAATTGTAGAAGAAGCACTAAACTCTGACTTGGAAAATGTCTGCAGTTCTTGACAATAACACTCATTTTTTAAAAAAACACCATTCAATGAGTAAAAGATATTAACATCTGGGGGAACTTTAATAGCAAAGGAAACCATAATTAATGAAAGATACGTCATTAAACAGTATTGCTTCTGCTACCACAGATTACCAATTCAACTGTGAATAAATTGTTTCTAGCCTGCACATTACTATTACAACAGATGATGGGATTATAATAGAATTATTGATTTTGAAATTTATAATATTTCAATATTTATTAATTATCAACACCACAGCCACAATACCATTATTTCTTTATTCAATACCAAAATGTGTATGTGTATACTTATAAGAAATCTATGAGCTGATTTATCTCAAATGATAGTGAGTACTAAAACTGCCACCAAATAATTATGTATGTTTTTATATATATAAATTTTAATGAAACAAGTTGTAAACTGCAGATTTTTAAACACGTACATGAGAATTTCAGCTAAACTTGTAAGCCTTGAAACACTATTTATGTTGAACTAAACATGCAGATCAGCTTCTGGACCCAAATGGTTTAAATTACAAAACTGCTTACTGTATTTTCAAAATTATGTTTGTTGAATTAGTAGGGTTAAGAAATTAGGAAGTACAAAGCAGAGCTTGGAAAAGTTACTTTCTGATTACAATTCCCTGAGTTTTTCCAAGTAATTTTTCCAAGCTCTGTTTTAACATCTACATATTCACCCAGCCAAGGATTCTTTACATTTAAGTAATGAGAGAACCAAACTCTCTCCACTCTGGCTGTAAATGGCAATGGGGTGATGCAAAAGACAAGCACATGCTATCATGCATACATAATCCCAGTACATATGACATTTACCCCCTTCTCTTTGAGAGAGGAGCAAACAAAATGGGGATGAACACACATGTGCAACACCGATGTAACCTGTTCACTCATGTGGGCAGGTGAAAAAGCGTATGTACACCTACTCTTTTATAGCTCTAAAGGATTTAACCAGGACTCCAGATGGATGGACTATTTTTTATTTGTCATGTGCCACCAGGTCTCCTCTGATATATACCTATCCAAATAGTTTTTAAGGTAAGTGAAATATTTAAGGAGTGCTTTAACATCGCCACTCCTCATTGAGTTTCTGTGGCCAAGCAACAATTCCAACCCAGGTCTCCTGAGTCTATAATTCTATCCAGTCTACTTTACTGGCTCTCACTTTAGGATCACTTACTGACCATAAATAGATAGAAAATTCATAATGGTAATAAGCTTATTAGTGCTCTGAATTTATCTCCTTCTGGATATTAGGCCATTCCTAATGTGTATTGGTTCGTGAACTGTAATCATTTTCATATTTGTTGTGTGAAATTTCATTGTCTGCATGTTACATAACATCTACCTATTCACTGGCTTCTTTGGTGTCTGATGAAGTAAACTCTAGCCGATGAAACCAAGTATCCAAAGAAATGCTTTTCTCCTTAAGAGACCAGATTCTTTTCTAGTTTTGCTGACTGAAGTGGATACCTGTAATTCAGAGTAAATGAGGCAGTAGTGGAGTGTATCACTTCAAACATAAGGTTTCTTTTTTCTATATTATGTTAAGCACTGGCTTCATTCTGTGTGTGTGTGTGTGTGTGTGTGTGTGTGTGTGTGTGTGTGTGTGTGTGTGTGTGTGTGTGTGTGTGTGTGTGTGTGTGTGTGTGTGTGTGTGTTTTTCAGTACTGTATCTAATGGTTTTATGAGGTTAATTCATGTGAAGGAAACCATGAACTTAAAATATTTCTATACAGCATGAGTGTGAAGACTTATTTCCTGTCTCACAGTTTATGATGCTAACAATATAAATTTCATCGCTCTAGACCTGTGATACTGAAAGCATGACACTTCTCTCAAATAACCAGTGTGCTCCTTCTTCTTAGAACGAGAGTTGCACTTTCCTTCATTTCAAAGAGGGACACAAACAACTTTATCTTCTTTGTATAACCTTCCCTTGTTTTCTAATCACTTCTCCCCCACCTTTTAAGAAAATCTATTAAGAAAAGACAGAATAAGGCCATCCATCTGAAAACATCCAGATGTTTCACCTGATTAAAGTCACTGGTTCTAATTAGTCAATTATTTATGGCTCTTTCAAATATCCTACTAACCAGAGTTCTCCTGGCAGTGTGCAGAGTTGTAGAATGGTTGTCAAGATTTTATCTGGACATCACTATTGTCTTTTTGAGGTTTATAGCATTTGCTATAAATGACTGAGGAAACAAGGTCAAGAGAGGTGAAAAAGATGTTATCTTTGGAAAGCTAAAGAAAGAACTGAAAAGCAAGCCAACTGCCACTAACAATCCATTTCCTTGCAGCTTTGGAAATGGTTACAACTTCCTACAAAAGACTTCTCATTTTGGCTTGTGAACTGGTAGAAGGGGGCCTCCCAAACCCAAATATAACAAAGTGCACCAAAGCATATTCAAAGCAGTTAGGTACAACGATTTGAATAAAAAGCCTCACTCAGGCAGCCAGCAGCTGAGGGAAAGCTTGCCTGCAGGAAAAGGTATTTGCCTGTTTGTGTAAAGACGGCAAAGATGAGGCCAGTCTGGCCTCCTGTGGGAGGGAGTTCCAGAGTCTAGGAGCAGCAACAGAGAAGGACTTCTCCTTTATAATGTTGTTAATTGTACATTAAGTCTAAGCAGACTTTCAGCTGAGGCCAAAAACACGTCATCTTTTCATAAAAAAAGCAAACGACACGATAGATCCTAATTTGCTAGGGCGGGAGATTTAGATCTTGCTATGTAGATCACTATGACTTCATCCCGAATCCAGAGGTGAATGAAAATAAATTCGGTTAGGTACTTGGCAAATGTCCCCTTTTTCTCAATCATGCCGCTAAAAACATGGCAGAGGAACTTTCAAAACAAAAGCACCAGAACCCATCGCTACTCGGCAGCAAAAGGTTACTCGACTGAACCGCGAAAGTGTCCCCACGAAAGTGTCTGAGCGACTCAGGAGGTCCCCGAGGATGAGGATTTCCGCCCGCCGACCGCTTCAGTGCCTCCTAAACGAAGAAAAGCGCCGAGGACGCCCGCCCAACGCCCACAGAGAGCGAGGATGGGGCAGGGTCCCGTTCTTTCGCCAGCCTTCCCTCCCAACCACTTGAATTTCCGCAGGGACAGCCGTCCTCTCGTGGGTACAAAGAAAGAAAGAAAGAAAGAAAGCTCAAAGCTTCCCGCCAGACTGCTTCCCCCAAGCCTTCTTCCTCCTTCCCCTCCCCTCCCTCCGCTCCCGTGCCTTGTGCAATGGCGCCCTTTGTTGTGGTGCCGCGCGGGGCGCGTGCTCTGGCCATCTCCAGCCCCACGCGCGGGGACAGCTCCCCGCGAGCGCCCGCCTCGCGCACACACCCACGCGCCCGCGCGCGCAGCACAGGCTCTTCTTTCCCCCTCGCGCCCAGCACCAGGGACGAAGGGAGAGCCTTTGAAAGTTTAAAAGCCAGACCAGCGGTAGCAGCAGCAACAACAACAACATATTGGTCCCCTGCCTCGCGGGATAACGTCGAAGTTTCTGGACGCCTCTGTGCTCCTCGGCGCAGCCTCCGCGGATCCTCCGGCCCCGCCTCGGCCCCCTCCGACTCACCTGCTTTCCACCTGCCCGCTGGTCATCTTGGACGGAGCAGCAGCCCAAAGCGCGAGGCGAGGCGACTGCGAGGCAGCGCGCTTATTGGCAGATGCGCGGCTCGGGGAAGGAGAGGGGGGGCGTGCGCGGGAGGCGAGCGAGGAGCTGGCGCGGTGGGGAGGGAGGGAGAGAGTGGGTGGGAGTGGCAGCGGCGGGCAAAGCCGCGGCCGCAGCTCGCAGCCCAGCCCGGCGCGTGTCGAGGCAGAGCTGCAGCAGCAGCAGCCGTCGACTTGGCAACCGTCCCCGCGGATGCAATTAGTTTCGAAAACGGCGCCAAAGCGGGCAAAGGAGGGTGCTGAAGGAAAAAAAGCGGCGGCGCTTCGGCCTCACACAAGGATGAGCGCTAGCCCCGCGGGGAGCTCGCTTTTGCCCTCGAGCCCTGCTGGAGGGCTCGCAGGACACTTCACTCCACAAATGTCTGGCCTGAGGGAGCGAAGGTGTTTCTTTAATTCAGCTTCACGGGGTGAAAAAAACAACACTTACTGGGGGCCGGGTGAGGTGCCCAATAGGTCCCGAAAGCTTTTAGAGCTTCTGCAGGACGCAGTGGTTCGGCAGGGCTAACAGGGCGAACCTACTCCCAGCTGGCAGCGTTGAGGGCATTTCTGTTTTGGAAGCCAGGTGCATTTTTCCTGCTCTTTGGCTAAGTTGTGGAACGGCTGGCCGGCCACCTATCTCCTTTGCCCATACGGCCACCTATCTCCTTTGCCCATACGTGGCTGGCTGCCTCTTTTGTACATATATATGTTGAGTGGGGTGAATAGGGCAAGGGAAATTGCCTCACTCTGTTTCTTTGCATCTTCAGAATAGGTGGCTTGGATGAAATCCAAGGGGGGAATAAGGATGGAAATAGGGACAGCCGCCATACTACAGACAGGACACAGCTGTGCTGTGCGCTGACGTATATTCCTACTATTTCATATCATTTATTTGTGCATCAGTTTCCTTTATAGACTTCCTTTCTTTTAATGACTTCCATGCAGCATACACAACTCCCCCCACCCTTGCTTTATCTTAACAGCAACCCTGGGATGTCAGTCAGGCTGAAAGTAACTAGACCAAGGTCACATAGTTTCATCATTGAAGGGGGTTTGATTCAGGATTACCCAAATTCTAGCCTCTCTCTTTCGCGCTCTCTCTCTCTCTCTCTCTCTCTCTCTCTCTGTGTGTGTGTGTGTGTGTGTGTGTTTTATTCTTATCACTATGCCATTATATAAGATTAACTAGTTTTTATTTTTATGAGCTTCCCTATCGAATAAGACCTATAGCTTGGATATTATAGGAAAATATAACTACTACTGTATCTGACCTGATTCTACAAATCTTAGAACTGTAGACTAATAACCAGAATAACTAGGACTGTTTTTTCTCATATTGGAAGGAATTTTTCTCCATTTTTCCTTGTACAGTATTTGAACTACAACAAGTTAATATTTGAGTCATGAATAGAAATAAGCGGATTGAAAGATAACAGGATCCTGTTCTGCCTGCCTTTTATAATACAGTGGTATAAAAGCTCACATATGAAGCAGCTGCTAGATGGAACAAATAAGCCAAACACGATTTGATTGATTTCCACAGTGCTTGATTGTTTTATGTTTGTGATGATTGGTTATTTTATGACTCTAGAAAGATCTCCAGAGGAATTAAGTAATATTTCCACAGACTAAGTGTGGGGAAGACCTATTATGTTCACAGTTCAAAGGACTGTATTTAGTATTAATTAGCCTGACAAATCTTCAGCAGAAGACAGAAACACAGAGAGAGTTGTTTTATCCTGAGTAAATATTTGCAAATAAATATACTAGAAATATAAAACCACTACACCTGCACAAGCCCCCCAATACCATCTGATTCTAGAAACTAAAGGTGCAATCAGCTGAGGCAAAGGTACATACCTGATTATACCGGAAAGGGCTGCTCCAAAAGGAGAGATCTCCCTTGAAGCAACCCTTCCATCTTCTGGGGAATTGTTACAGCCCAGCCCTCAAAAGTAGAAACCATCCAGTTGGACCAAAAAGGTCCAGTTTGTGCACAGATCAGTGTCAAGCTGGAGTGTATTTCTCTGTACATCATGTGATCACTAGGAAATAGCTGTCCAAATTGCCACCTATTTCCCTGTGTGGTTACACTCGCAGTAGAATCAGGCTTAGTTAGTATTTAGATGGGAGATCATTAGGGAATAACTCGACATATTGTATTTGCATAGGGTTAGCAAAGATTCTTGCCTGTAACTCTGGAGAGCCACTGCTGCTGCTGATCAGAGTAGACTGCACTGAGCTAGACAAACCAGTGATCTGATGCAACCAGTATAGCACAGCTTCTTCTGTTCCTCAGTGCTTGTGTGTGTGTGTGTTTAGCTGCTATATTGTATATAGGTTTTGGGAAGTAAAAGCAACAAAGGCAGGTCCCATACAGTATGAAACCCTATGCAGAAGTATATTTGAGTTTTCTGGGTCAAATTATATGCCTTATATAACACTCCTTCCAACTCTATAGTTTTATGTACAGCTTATATTTCATAGATACACAACTACAGAGGAGTGTTTCCTATGTTCTTGCTCACAGAGGATATATCTTAAGGTCCAACCATACAAAGGGTGTGCATTCTAGGAAAAAGATAGGAAATATATGACCAGCCAGGTATAGTTGGATTGCAACTCCCCTAATCCTTCCCTATTGGTTATGCTAGCTAGAGCAAATGGGAACATCTGGAGAACCTTTTTAAAGAGAAAGGAAGGATAAAAATATCTTCAAATCATATTTCCCATCCCTGTTCTATAATGGATTCTTCACCTCATTTCCCTAAAACTCATTTCCCCATCTTTAGTCCATATGCATTTTTCTATGGAGGAGGATCAGTAGATTTCAATAAATACAATTTATCACCACCAAAATACTAAGAACCATTGCTCAAGAACATGTTCTAGATTTCTCTTTAGTATGCTGTGAATCTGTGGCACCTCACAGGAGGTGTTAAATGGCAATCAATTCAGGAAGTGTTTCCTGAAAACTGTTACTTTCTTTTACCCTCCACTTTTATTTTATATTTCATAAGTATACACGTGCACATACTATACAAGTCGAACATATGAAGACCAAAAAAGAGAAAATTAAAGTGTACAATATAATTATTTCTTGCGCAGAAACTAAGAGTGTACAAAACCTTCTGAATTCCTTCTGTAACCAAATAAAGGGACTATAGGGCTAACCGATCCTGTAGCCTTTAGGACCTGATCCATCCCCAGCTCTGTGACACTATATGTGTGTTTCTGAATCTTTGTTTAAAAAACAAGCAATATATGAATGAATATGACTGGAGGGAGGCACTATATTGTGGCCTAATTGCTGTCCACTCAAAAGTCAAACAATTGTCCTTCAACAGTCAAACACAATGCTTATTATATTAGGCATCCTTCAGTCTCGCGAGTCTATGGTAACGTGCTCTGAATAGAGGACTCGGAACAGTGTGGCTGAGAAGGCCAATTCGAGAGTGAAAATCTCTTCCACACTGAAGACAAATACAATCTGTCCTCTGTACAGCTCCCTGATTTTACTGGTTTCGGGGCTTCCTCTTCACCTCGGCCTGCTGGACAAGTGTCTCTTCAAATTGAGAGAGGCCATGATGCACCACCTGCCTCCAAGCTGAACGCTCAGATGTCAAGCTTTACATTATTATCACACTGTTAGCACTGTGTTGTCAAACCTTGACAACACAATGCTAACAGTGTAATAATAATGTAAAACCTACTACACTAAGCTGAGGGAGAGAAGGAGTATTCCAGAATGCAAGAAAATGTAAATAGTAACACAAGCCTGTGGAATAAACTCCTGCCCGATATCTGCCTAGCCCCATCACTGGCTACCTTTCAGAAATTGCTGAAAACCTGATTATTCAAACAGGCCTTTGAAAATGTTTTACCAACAGAACAAAGAGTACTTATTAAACCCTAAGTCAGAGATTTCACCATCCTGATTGCTTTTATTAAATATTATTTTTGTGACATATTTTAAGGTTATAATGTTTCTAATTTATAATGTTTGTTATGTTTTTAATATACTGTATCACTTTGGTGTTACTTTCTTTCAATTTATTGTTGTTGGCTATTGTTTTGGTTTTTTGTTGTGAGCCAACCAGAGTGACCTTGGTAGCCAGATAAGCGGTATACAAATTAAATAAATAAACAAATAAAAATATATATCTTGCTGAAGTAATAAATTGATTATTAGTAATCAATGGCGTATACATCAGTCTCTAAATCATAAACTAGAACCCAAGTAATGTGAGAGGCCAACTTTGCAATTAGAATTTTGATAACAGTATCATTCCACTCCATTATTTTAAAGCTGTCACATCTGTGCAATCAACTTGCAAGCAGAAAGTACGGTTACCTCCCAGAGACAAATCACCAAACAGAAATAAGCTGGTTTGCAACTTGCTAGAGTGAAAAAACATCAGCAAAAATAATCAATTGTCCTCTACCTTAAGAAAGCATTACTTCTAACTGTGAATCCAGCATTTCATATACTATGAACCTAACGCAGGTCTCAGGTCTTTAGAACCTAAGGACAGGATTATGTTATGTGGCAGCCTGTCTTCCATCTCCTGAACTAGTCTTCTTCTCTCAGATGTGATAGGGGGATGCAGCCCTTTTGCTTGTGCTGAAGGAAGATTAATCTGCTAATTCATTTAGCTGCTGAATATGGAATGTTGGGGGAGGGGGAATGGCCATTTTGTCCCTCACCTCAAGCAGCAAAATGTCTTCAGACAGCCATTTCGTAATGACTAAGCATTTTAACTATGGATGCGGTCCTACACCTTCTGCTTTGAGATTAAGCAGAAATGAGTGCGAGGTACTTAAACACTGGATTCAGCAATATTTTTTGGAAGATTTTTAGTTGAAACAATAGTATAATACATATTCGTGGAGGCTTTCACAGCCGGGATCTAATGGTTGTTGTGGGTTTTTCGGGCTCTTTGGCCGTGTTCTGAAGGTTGTTCTTCCTAACGTTTCATACAGTGCTGTCCTCTGAAGATGCTGGCCACAGAGACTGGCAAAAC